TTAGTCGACTAATCGAAAAAATAATCGGTGATTAATCGATAATAAAAATAATCGTTTGTGGCAGCCCTAGCAGCCATGTTGAATCATGCAATGATTAGTTTCTGAGAGTTTCATCAAAACCTCTAGCGGCTCATGAGATATTTTACTAACAATCAGCAAAAGCATAAATAAAAGAAATAAGCGAGTGTGTGCATTTTTCTGATGAACTGGTGCTGGTGAAGGACTTTGCTCAGACTGGTGGCTGCTTTCATTTCCCAGAGTTCTTTGGGGCTTTCTGCTTATATAAGCACACAGAGAGGAGAGCACCAGCCTGCAGCTCCATCATCAGTGTGCAGGCTTTAACCCACTATAATCTGCATGCAGAGAGGAGGTGCTGCAGGAGGAGGAGGAGGTGGTGGAGGAGGAGGATTCTCTGCATTCACCATCTGCCGGGTCTGGCTTCCTCCAATATATAAAACATGACAGCAGAGTATCATTTATTAGGAGCATTATTGAACTGGGGCTGCTGGTTATATAATACAGGCGCGTGCACGCGCATTAAACCTGTTTTGCGCCGTGCAAACTGACAATGTCAGGTGAATCAGTGAGCTAATTCGCTGGTACTTTAAGGGGGATGTAACGCCATCTTATCCCGTTACATCGTTCATCAAAAGCCCCCCTCAATGCAAACACGTCGCCGGCTGGTCGTRGAGCGTCGCTTTTTAAAGCGTGACGGTCGAAACGAAACGCATCAAATTAATCCGCGAGGAGAGGTCGCGAGCTGTGTTCCCCCCCCACGACCTCTGTCTGCGCGCGACCCACTGGGTCGCAATCGCATTGTAAAAGGGGGGAGGTTTAAAAAAAAAAGTAAGAAAAATGCGACGAATCCTGTCGCAAATTCATCTGGGAGCGGTGAAAAGTGAGAAAACGCGGCGAAAAAATAGTCCAACCCGAGACATTACCGTCGAAGTTTATTTAAATCGCCAGAGACTTAAAATGTCCGCTCGGTGAAGACTGTCGGAGCCACAGCGGAGTCAGTTGTTGTTGACGAGCTTATCCGAGCCCAGAACAGCCCCGCTGCTAATCTGGAAACCGTCCTCCTCTCCGACCGGGCACCATTTTGTCACATTTCGGTCTCCCGTGTTAAAAAGCAGACCGAGAAGTCAAACTTCGTCCCGGTGTTTCGGTTACAGGTGGACGGATGCTGGTAATTTGTGCCCCGGTGAGAGACGCCGGGATTTCACCGGAGAGAGAGCGAGGAGGGGGGCGGGCGGGACGGACCCGAGCTGCGCGAGATGCTCCACATTCAGCTGAAAACCGCTGCTAAGAGCTGCGGCGACACTTCAGAATAATTAATATTTACAATTTAGCKGGCGAATTGTCCGAACACAACGATAAAGGGCTCAGCGGGAGAGGGACGGGAGGAGGCGCAGCAGCGTGCCCGGGCTCAGGACCGCACATCACGGACTATTTCAGGCAACAATAAACATGTTATAAAAGACTTTTTGTCGCTTACCTCTGCCGGACTCCGGTTCCGCAGCTCTAAAGTGATCCTCTTCTTCATTTCCATGTCGAAATATGTGTCGTGGCTGTTGAAAAGCGAGCGAGGAACAATTGAGAAAGTCCCGGGGATCAGAGCAGTGGCTGCCCTTTTCTGCTGGCCGCAAGTTGCCTACTGATCCTCCATGATACCTCGCGCCCTGCCCCCTCCACTACAGCCCCGCCCACCGCCGCTCGGAATGGGCAGAGCGTGTCAGGCTCATGCCTCTGATTGGACCGCGGACGCGTCAGTCATGATTGATCGGAATTAAACTTATCCGAAGCTCAACCGACCAACCTGAGAGTTGTACAATGAATGCAACGACACATTTGTTACAATAATTCACATTTTAGACTCCAAGTTTTGATTATATCCTCTATATACAATATAATTTATGCAAAAATATCGATATATGTGATAAGTTTACAACAACACTTTGTTTTATATTAAGTTATTCACTGCAAACTAAAATAAACAAAGAAAGCAGGTACGACTAGAGAAACAATTGAGAACAAAAACAGATTTTTGTTTTTTGCTTTATGGCACCAAGTGTATCCTTACGTCTTAATAATTAAGATTGCTAAAACTTTCTAAAGCACAAAACTTATTTTCAATGACTGAAACAAACTCAAATTTAAATCTTGTACTTTTGTATGATGTTTTCAGTGTTCTAAAGTTTACACCTTAATACATTTATTAAACTATATGACTAATAGCGTGGTGTGTTATTCGCAAATTAAATATACGTTTTTACAAAAACAAAGAATAAAACTCTCAGCAGTTATAAATGATGTGAGTCGGCAACCAAAAACTTTAGCCAAAAGCAAGTTCATATTTAAATGCAGAAATTCATAACCTTTATTGAGAAGCGGTCAGGTCAAAGTTAAAAAAATACAACTTTATATGTACATAGAAAAGGGTTGCAAAGCTTATAAAAATAACTGAGAAGGGTAAGAGCAGGAAATGAAGTCACGACAGGTTTACTAATGATAAATGTGAACATGTTTTTATCAGATGGAAACCTAGAGGAATGCACATTTGGCTTTAGGTGCTCCACATACACAACTTATTAAAWTTTTTTTTTTTGTAGTTTTACGTCTAAAACATCCATTTTTTACATTCAGTCCTTCGATTTACTGACCTGAAGCTTGCTTTGCTTAAATTGGCAAACATAAATCTGGTTTATCCTCTATTTGAAGTAATGCATTCCCGATATTTTTATTTCTGAAGTCAAAACAGTTCCCGAACATTACTTGCAGAACTGATATCAACTATTCTGATTCACCGTTTTATAAAACAATCACCTGACACCGAGATTCAGATGTTTAGAGTTAAAACAGTCTCCTGTGAGAGGTTTTATCTTTCATCTGCTTCATTTTAAGCTTAAAGAAATTGTTTCTTGCCCATATCAAAAAAGCAAAAGCTGTTTGCTGCACAGCCATACAAACAGAGCCTGAGAAAAAACAGTTGGATTGTAGGAAAATTAAGTTATAGAAGTAGAAAATAGTTAATATTTCAGATTTCTACTCATCCTTTTTCTGTAATGAAACAAAACAAACTGAGTATCTTTGAGTCGTTAAAGATTTTCTAGAAAAAAAAGGCATTTGAAGTCATTTTAAAAAGTGGATAAAATATTTTTAGTTTAAACACTGTAAAATAATTAAGAAACTAATAATTAATAAAAAAAATTAAGTAGCAGTTGGTCAAAGTCAAACTTATGGGATTTAATAATGACTTTATAGCAACCAGATGGGAAACTAAAAATAATGATTATTATTAACACAAAAGAAAAGTTGTAGTTTCCATAATGAATCTTGTTCACTCCCAATCAGGATTATTTGTTTAATAAAACTCAGCATTTCATTAGTTTTAGATGTTAGTTGGATTAATTCAAAGAAACACAGGAAATGAGTCAAGAGGCATCTGCTTTAAAAAATTCCCATGAGGCCGTTTGAGCTTTCTGTTGAATATTAGGTTAGTATTTGTGAAACAGAGAAGTGCAGTTTGGCATTCGGACATTAGTTAAAGGACCCGGTGATGAGGGCGTTAACATCCACAAAAACGTAAAACAAATTAAATGTAAAAAAAACATTGAAACAAAATACATGAAACAAGCTGGAAATTAGTTTAGAGGGAGTTCTTTTAGTGTCCAAACAAAACTGGAAAATTGACTTGTTTCATGTTTTCACCCTTTGACACAAAAATGAAATTAAAATGTGCCGTTTTGAAGCCATTAGACAAGTTATGTTGACTCTGGGAAACAAAACAGAAGAAAAGAGAACATCCTGTAAACAAAAGAAAAAAAAAGAGGCAAAACTGAATATGATGGGAGTAATTCATGGCATCCAAAATGTTGCAAATGGGACAAACTATTGGTCTAAATTCCTGTCATTTATTCTACATATCCTCGGCGTGAGAGATGGTTTCTCCAGATTCAAAGAGGGAAGCAAAATGTTAGCGCAACGAAGACCGGCTTGGAGATACATAAATGAGTAAACCATCAAATAAAGGTCCCGTGTTCTCAGATATTCACTCATTTGTTCTTTTCTGCTGTAACTCCATCACAGAGCATTAAAGGAGGCATTCAGAACTCACAGTGCCTGAAGACTCTTGAGGTGTCCTCACAGATCTACCTGATCTGTTGGCATCAAATGATTCAGGGATTTAAAACGATGCGTCGTGAYTCCTCCTTTTATCAGTTCGTCTTCCATCTCTGAGTAATCTTTTTAAAGAAGTCACTCCGTCTCTCGCTTCCTGCCACGAGTCAGCTCCTGCGCCACCCTCTGAGTCTCAGTTGAATTCACGAGTCTAATCAGCCCCCGGCTGTTCTGATGGAAGTTTTTATTGCCCCCGCTGCTCCGTCTGTTAGGAGCTGACCTGAGTCGTCTCTCCGCCCGTCTCCACCAGCGTCACCTGACCCTCCTCCCCTTCCATGATGATGCCGCCCTCCTGCAGCACCACCATCTCTCCCTCCTCTTCAACCACGCCGGCGGCCCCCTCCTCCTCATCCTCTCCCCCCACCACCTCCTCTGGGCTGGCGGCGTTGGTGGCGCCGCCGACTGCGTTGTTGGTGCCGGCYTGACTTTGGGCCATGGCCTCCAGCTTCATGCGGTACTCCTCGGCTTCCTGCTCCTTACGCAGCAGCTGCTGTCGGTACTCCTGAGCCTTCCTGTTGGCCTCCTGCAGCTGTCTCTGCAGCAGCTCCTGAACACAGACGCACCACAGGCAGGAGGTTAGGGGAAAGTTTGACTTTTAAGTTCACATTAGGGCTGGGTATCATGGACTATTCTCTAGATTGACTCGATTTCAGTTCATAARGTTCTGAATCGATTAATCACGATTCAATTCAAGTCGATCTGCTCTTAAATAATGAAAATGGTTCAACTGTGTTGCAAAATACAACGTCACTATTTTTTCTCTTCACCATAAGGACAAACTTTTAAATTAAACAGTTTAATCTTGAAGGAAAACAGTTTTAAATTAAAAAAGGATCTGCAGGTGACTGTGTTGTTGGAGGAATTCATTTTTAAGAAATTAATTATTTTCTTGATAAATAAGAAGTGATGGGAATAAGGTTGCAGAAGAGGTGGGACAATATAAATATACTTCTGCCCACTTCTGTTGAGTGTATGAAAATTATATATTTGTAATGTTTATGTTAGCTTCTGTTATGTTCAATATAACTTATTAAAACTTATTACTTATACCTTATTAAAACAAATAATACAACTACAACATTTCATCACTATTGATTTCATTAAGACGTTTCTTAAAGTTTAAAAATAGTAATATTCGTAACAAAACAAAATGATTTTGTTAGAATATCATCTTTAACACATTTTCGGACTATAAGCCGCGACTTTTTTCCTGAACTTTGAACCATGAGGCTTATAGACCGGTGCGGCTTATACATGGATTTTTTTCTTCAGCCACCAGTGGACTCTTATGCTCAATTTGCTTCAACCACTTGCTTCAAAAAAAGAAAGGAAAAAAAAAAAGAAAAAAAAGCTATCTCTTCCAGAGCCGACTGTTGACCAGGAAGCAGCGATTTAAAGATAGTCAATGGCCAAAAACTCATAAAAGGGGATAAAACAGACATTTTTCACAGTGGAATCTGACTGATAAAAACTTTGGAGCTTAATCCAGGACCAGTTTGTGGATAAACGTTGAGTGAAGAGCCGCCGACTTTCTTTTTCCTCATTGCACTCTCCGGGGAAGGAATCCCATGCAGTGACGTATGCTGGAGCGGGAGGGCTTTCCCAGCACAGCTTCAGAGCCAACATTACCCCGGGAGGACAGAGACACAGAAAGCAACACTGAACAGATACAGCTGTGTGACGCAGCTTTTCTCAGCTTGTTTAAATCTGACACTGAAGAGGAGGACTTCGATGTTTTCAGAGCGCCAGAGAACGATGAATGAGACGTTTTGTTGGATCACAAACTGTTAAAGAAAACTACCAAAATAAGGTCAGTTAAATGAACCGTATTCCTCCGAACTTTAATTCBTAAWGGTTTGCTTTTTATGTTTTGATGTTGAATTCACTTTTTTGACGGCAAATTTGGGTGTACTGTTTTTTTTATGTTGGGGTTATAGTCCGGTGCAGCTTATATGTTAATGTTCGCGGAATTTTTTTAAATAAATGGCAGGTGCGGCTTATAGTCCGAAAAATACGGTATACATGTTGTGAAGAACAGTTACAGCCAGATGTTTACTGAGGGTGCAACGATACAAAAAAAAAATAAATAAATAAAAAAAAAATCACGATTCGGTTCAATATTTTAGTCCCACAGTTCGATTTTTTTGATACAAAAAAGAGAAATGTCCATGCCCTTTTTAACTTGTAATTTATTTAAATTAATTATGAACATTTGTTTAACCTCAAAAGTACAGTTTTTAAATTAAATGTTGCTGAAACAGCAAGTTACTCATTGAATCTGCGTTCAACAATGCAGCCTAGGTGGAGTAGTCGAACACAGATCCACTGATCCTGCAACACAGAGCATCTTCAGAAGACAAGTTGATAAAATAAATGTAAAAAATCTGTATTATTCGATACGGGTGTGTATTGAATGGTTCGATACGGGTACATGTACTGGTGCACCCCTAATGTTTAATACTGTTGTTTGGTTCGAGCGCCTAACGAGCAACTCGTCGAAGCTTACTTCGTTTTCGCTACCGCATAGGAGCGTAAATCTTTGCAAACTAAAGTCACCATAGTTTCTGTTGTCTTTAAGTTCTGCTGAGAATCGGCTGATAAACTGAGTGATTCCTTTCTTTTGTTTTGTTCCAGACAACTTGTTATCGAAAGCTAACGTTAGCGCTGAACGTCAGTCAGGTGTAAACATACGGCAAGCCAGGAGTGACAAAATACAGAAATCGATTTTCCCAAATTTCAATGAAATCGATTTTTTAAACCCAGCCCTGATTCACATTAAAGCTACTTTTTGACTAAAAGGAATAAAAAGCTGTCGTTTTACTCACCGTCTCTCCAGTTTCGCTGTGGTTGTTGGTGATCTCCAGCTTCCTCTTCCTGGAGGGCGGAGGCTGCGGCTCGTCTGCCACCACCTCTTCTGTCACCGTATTGGCTGGAACTGCCAGCACTGAAAGTAAACAAACACTTAGCGACAAAACAACTCACTAAATCAGCCTGGTGGTCCTCCCAGGACAGATGGCGTTCGTGTCGTACTCTGCTGTCCGTGCTGCATCGTGACAAAGAACGGCTGCGTCATCCCTCCCGTGGTCTGCAGGTTGCCGTGCTGGTCTGTTACGATGGTGATGACTCTCTGACCGCCTTCGTTGACGACGGTGGCGTGCTGGATGTTGGGATCCAAAGCGCTGGCAGCCACCGCCTCCTCTGACTCCCCTGAAGGACGWAAACACAAAATACACGAGGCAACGTTCTGAAAAAGCTCACAGTAAACCTCCACAGTGATAGTAAAAGTGCGTACCTGCGTTGGCCTTATTGAGAAGGTCTGCCAGGTTGACCACGCCCCCTTGGATGGAAGGGATTCCCTGGATGATGTACTGCGGCTGGCTGGGGACGCTGCTCGTCTCCAAATTCATGCTAACCTGGTTCAAGTTAACCTGGTTCTGCATGCTCTCCTGCAAACACAAGAAAAATAAAGTGTTCTCATCAATTAATACGACAAACATTTAGAAACATATTGTGTATTTAAATATTTGGCATCAAAAAAATTTGTAAGATTAATAAAATGTATACACAGACTCCTGCAGAGGAAGTTCAGGAGTTTCCCTTCAGGTTTTTCCTCACCTGCAGCAGCAGCATCAGCTCCGTGTTCTGGATGTCGGCGGCGATGTCGAACGGCGTTTTGTCGAATTTGCTGCGCGCGTGCACGTCGGCGCCGTGCTTGACGAGGGCCTCGGCCACGCCGTGGTGTCCGTGCTGAGCCGCCCAGTGAAGCGCCGTCATCTTCAGCATGTCTTTGGCGTTGATATCCGCTCCGCTCTGAAAGAAGATTTTCATTTAAGCTTCAACTTTTGATTTTTTTTGGTTATAGATTGAACAACAAAACGGTTTAAAATCTGCAACAGGTTAGGAGAAAACCTGAGGTCCCACCCTAATCAGCAGCTCCACGATGATTGTGTGTCCCTCAGCAGCAGCCATGTGCAGCGGCGTCCTGTCCACTTTGGTGCGGGCGTCCCTGCTGACGCCAGCTCTCAGCAGGACGTCTGCAGTGGAATAATGGCCGTGCTGAGCGGCCAAGTGGAGGGGGGACGTTCCCAACTGTCAAAAACACCAGACAGGTTTCACACAGGTGACTCACGCATTAACACAGCCCACCCTGTGACCGTTCTGTCACCAGCAAATGGAGAGCTTTGCCTTTCGACTCGACCCTTTCTTCACCACGACAGACCGAAGCAACGCTCTCATTACCCAAACACAAAGGCAGGCTTCTTACCCAGTCTGTAGTGAACGGAGCTCCGTTGGCCATCAGGTTCCGGACCTCGTCATCGTTCCCTTTCCGAGCCGCTTCCAGCAGCCTCTTCCCCAGGTCCACCAGTGACATCTGACTCAGATCAATACCAGTGATGAGTTTTGATCATGTTACAACCATGTCCTAATTTATAATCCTGCTCTCAGACACTGAAAAATACTTTTTTTGTACATCCAAAACTATAGGTAATCGTTTCACTAATTAATGCATAACAATTGAACATTTGTTAAAGATTTAGGACTTAAACAGCCGTAAGTCTTTAGCATAAACTACTTCAAGCAAAAAATATTAATGTGTTTAAACTCAGTTTACATTCCTATCATCTGTTACTGACATCCCAGAACAAAAGTAGGTCTAAGTCTAAACTGATGTTACTTGTTGCTGCACAAAACTGATAAGAACTGACACAACAAATGTTATCTCAGCCGGAACACTTCGAACACATTATTGCACCGAATGTTTACTTGAACTACATTACTCAGCATTTCTTTTCACTGAGAAATTAACCAAAAACATTAAAATTTAGTGTGTGTGTGTGTGTGTGTGTATTACAGTAAAACCAGGTATTTTGAATTAGTTTTGCTGCATATTTTCTAAACTTTATAGGACAAAACACTACCCAAACCCCACCCATAAAAAAGAATAGAATTAACATATTTCTTAGATGTAGCAGAAAAACCTCTGAAATGTTCATAGTTGTGTTTTTCTTTATCTAAACTTTGTGGTCACAAACGATTCAGTAAATAAAAAGGCAACATTATCACTTTTGATGGACCTAATTTAGTTCCTTTGTTGTATGAATGAAGCCCAAACATGTAAGTTTTAACTAAAAAGCTAAATAAATAAATAAATAAATAAAAATCAGACCGAGCACTGATGAATAAAACAAATGTTTAATCAGCTAAGAAACTCCTTAGGACGCAGTGAAAACAAACAAAAGCACATCATTTCAAATGTGTCAGTAGTATAAGAGCACTGTAGGGTTTTAAAAGTAAAAAATTAAGCGTTTTTAATGTACGGAAACTGTTTAAAGCAGCGTCCGATAATGGAACCCAATTGACATATATGGTTTAGTATTGCGAAACGACGAAGAACGAGACTTTTCTCTCGGCGGCCGAGAAGCCATTTTACGCGCCTAACACGGCCAGAAAACAGTCCGCCATGTGCCACGTCTTTCCCCGTGCTCTGCTCTCCAAGCGCCTATTTATCGCACTCACTGCATAAACATGTTTATCTGTTCCCTTGATAAATTTACGGTAGCACGAACAGGAAAYTGTTTGATATTAAGTTGTTGGCTTTCCGGGGGAAGTCACATAGAAATTTCCTATTTTACACACGGAGAAAAAACTACTTCCACATCCGGTTAGAAGCAAACTACAAGCGTGCGCCGCCAAACCGCTTACCGAAGAGTCTTCCGATGAGATTTTTTTTTTTACTACTTCTGCTTATTCTTGTAACAATTTAAGGTGTTGAATCTCAGAAAGTGTGGATCTTCTGCTGGTGGACGAACGGCGACTTACCGTGTATGTAGTTTTGTGTGGCTAGCCAGGCTATTCCTCTCTGCTAATGTTAGCACGCTAGCCGGCTAAATACAACCAGCCCCTTTCAGTGACGAGGACCTGTGCGCTTTTATCGTTCCACAATACGCAGTCAAAGCTAATAATGTGAACACTTAAATTAAAAAATGCGCAAGCCGTAGACATCAAGAACCACTGCAGTATGTCGGGACTCTGCAGAGCTTGTTTACTGCGAAAGTTAGCGAGAAACGGTCCCTACATGACCGGATGCTGCGGATTCAGACTTCAACATAAAATACCTACTCATAGGCAGTAAGTTATATGTTCCTTAAWTTTATTTATTTAAATTTGTTACAAGTTTAGTATAACTTACGACTGCAGGGATATTAGTTTTGCGTTTGAAAAGTACACGAATCCTTTAAAAATTTTAATGCTTTTTAAAATTTACTTTGCCAGCACTGAAAAAAAAAAAAAAACGCTGAGAACAGATTAAAAAGCACTTGTCTCGTAAAACAAATTGGTTTATTTTTTTCCAGTCGCTTTATTTAGAATATTCTGGATTTAAATAGCTACATTTGTAAAAAAAAAAAAAAAAATTTCAATAACAGTTGAAACGTGGAGCGTGCATTTTATTCTGAAAGACCTAACAGGAAGTGCAGACTTTTTTTTATTTGTTTACCAGCCGACTTGTGTTAGCTGTGTTAGCTTRCCCGCAAATGGTTAGTGATTAAAATTAACGCTGATTTTACCTTTTTCTGCCGGTGAGTCTCGTAACTAAAAGTCTCCTATCGCGAGTCGTACTCCGGCAGGTGTTCACCTGCCGCGAAGCCTTTTAAAAACTCTTTATGTTTGTGTGTTTTTTYCCCCCCTTGGTACAAATATGGCGGTCCGGCGACACCGGAGGTGGAAGCCAGAGTGCGCGTAACCTCCTTCGTGGGCGGGGCTTCGTGTTGACGCTGAAGCAGACCTGGGGTCAGTTTAAAAATCAGAGCTTTCATTTGATACCATCGCAGACGCTGACCCCGGTAAAGCGCAAAGAAATGGCGCACACCCTTCTGCTTATCGTCATTTAAAAAACTGTCCCGTTTATTTCCACCCAGAGGTGAAATCTGTCCAAATAACCTAGCATTTTCTTTTTTTTTTAAATGTGCAATTGAGTATTGACACAACTGCAAGTTTCACTAATTATTGTAATATCATTAATTATGAATTTTGAAATTTTTATTTTTTTTTTCTGTAGGCTTATTTATATAACGTAATTTTGTAATTAACGTGTTCATAATCTCAAAAATAAATGTTAAAGGCTAAATAAAATCAAGTTATTTGGTCTGGGTATTTTGTTAATACTAATGAATTTCAAAAATCTCTCTTTCGGTTAAAAAAAAATACCAAGACACTTCATATGTTTACAAAAGGACATTTTATTATAGTGTGGAGGCGGTAAATATTCAGAAGTTTTAATCTCATCCAGTTGCACAAACAGGATAAAAAGGAATTTAGTGTTAAAGCAGCTTTGAATAAAACAAAAAGGCACAAATCTGAAAATAAATTAAGCCTTTTTTTTTTTTTTTTTACTCCAGGTAGGTTTTGGATCTATATCAGGTTCAAGGCCACCGATTTTGCTTTAATGCTGCAACCAAAAATCACAATCACAAAAACTCAGTCAGGTGATGACGTCATGCATTCATCTATGAGACAAAACCTATAGTTTTAAATTAAATTCTAAACACAAACATAACCGTAAGTTGATCATCTGTGGCTGTAAACTAATGCTTTGTTTCTGGTGCAGTTTTACTAAAACATCTCCAGCCTGCTGTGAGTTTGTTTCACTAAAGTAACTTTATCAGTGCGAATGAAAGGATGTGGGTCAGGTTATAGGGGTTTCAGAGCAGCAGGTTGAGGTCAGCCAGCAGAGAGTCCACGTCTGCGATTGGAGCTCTCCAGTAGTTGAAGGAGGAGAACTCAGACAGCTCCTCCTGCAGGAGAGCATCAGATGAGATGTGCAGAGGTATGAAGAACAGTGAACTAACACAACACTTAAATGCAGACACACTGGCTCAGGATGCAGAGAGAACCATGTCTCACCTCGTCCTGACCCCACATCTTGTTTTTGGGCTTGCTGTGGTCCACCAACCCCAGGTCCTCCAGCTCCGACAGGTCCAGAGCTGGGATCGGTTGTTTCCAGAACAGGAAGGAGTCGTACTGGCTGTTTGATTTCTCCAGCATGTTTACGTCTAAATAAATAGAAAATGCAAACACTGTGGGTCAAATCAAGAAACGTTCGCAATAAAACCTAACAGATAATCTGGGTTTTGGTTAAACTGCACATGCTTCCTTTTGGTTAGTGGTTACATTTTTATTAATTATTAATAAACAGTTTTCCAGCATACATTTTAAATAGCTATACAAATGTCCAAACTCCTTTTTATATAAACCATGATTATTTAATAATAATAATTAAATAAGATATGTGTATGTTTAATAATTTAATTTGGATTTGCAGCTTGTTTTACTGTATTGGAACCAAAAGAAAAATCTGAATTTTTGTTTAATTGAAAACAAAAAAAAAAAAAAAACTTTTTTTGATTTATTTCTACTTTGTTCCATATTGTTTTTGTTCTATTTCTAATCTAAGTCTTAAAATATTTTATGTAAAAAGGCTGAAAATCTACAAAAGCCAGCCTCTACATGAATATACAGGTGCTGGTCATAAAATTAGAATATCATGAAAAAGTAGATTTATTTCAGTAATTCCATTTAAAAAGTGAAACTTGTATATTATATTCATACATTACATACAAACTCATGTATTTCAAATGTTTATTTTGTTTAATTTTGATGATTACAAATGACAACAAATGAAAATCTCAAATTCAGCATATCAGAAAATTAGAATCTTGTGAAAAGGTTCAAAATGGATGGCACCTGGTACCTCACTCTAATCAGCTAATTAACTCAAACCACCTGCAAAGGCCTTTAAATGGTCTTTCAGTCTAGTTCTATAGGCTACACAATCATGGGGAAGACTGCTGACTTGACAGTTGTCCAAARGACGACCATCGACACCTTGCACAAGGAGGGCAAGACACAAAAGGTCATCGCTAAAGAGGCTGGCTGTTCACAGAGCTCTGTGTCCAAGCACATTAATAGAGAGGCGAAGGGAAGGAAAAGATGTGGTCGAAGAAAATGTACAAGCAAGAGAGATAACCGCACCCTGGAGAGGATTGTGAAACAAAACCCATTCAAAAATGTGGGGGAGATTCACAAAGAGTGGACTGCAGCTGGAGTGAGTGCTTCAAGAACCACCACACACAGACGTATGAAAGACATGGGTTTCTGCTGTCGCATTCCTTGTGTCAAGCCACTCTTGAACCACAGACAGCGTCAGAAGCGTCTTGCCTGGGCTACAGAGAAACAGGACTGGACTGCTGGTGAGTGGTCCAAAGTCATGTTCTCTGATGAAAGTAAATTTTGCATTTCCTTTGGAAATCAAGGTCCCAGAGTCTGGAGRAAAAGAAGAGAGGCACTTCATCCACGTTGCTTGAAGTCCAGTGTAAAGTTTCCACAGTCAGTGATGGTTTGGGGTGCCATGTCATCTGCTGGTGTTGGTCCATTGTGTTTTCTGAGGTCCAGGGTCAACGCAGCCACATACCAGGAAGTTTTAGAGCACTTCATGCTTCCTGCTGCTGACCAACTTTTTGGAGATGCAGATTTCATTTTCCAACAGGACTTGGCACCTGCACACAGTGCCAAAGCTACCAGTACCTGGTTGAAGGACCATGGTATCCCTGTTCTTAATTGGCCAGCAAACTCTCCTGACCTTAACCCCATAGAAAATCTATGGGGTATTGTGAAGAAGAAGATGCAATACACCAGACCCAACAATTCAGAAGAGCTAAAAGCCACTATTAGAGCAACCTGGGCTATCATAACACCTGAGCAGTGCCACAGACTGATCGACTCCACGCCACGCCRCATTGCTGCAGTAATACAGGCCAAAGGAGCCCCAACAAAATACTGAGTGCTGTACATGCTCATACTTTTCATGTTCATACTTTTCAGTCGGCCAACATTTCTATAAATCCTTTGTTTTTATTGGTCTTCAGTAATATTCTAATTTTCTGAAATGCTGAATTTGAGATTTTCATTTGTTGTCATTTGTAATCATCAAAATTAAAGGAAATAAACATTTGAAATATATGAGTTTGTATGTAATGTATGAATATAATATACAAGTTTCACTTTTTAAATGGAATTACTGAAATAAATCTACTTTTTCATGATATTCTAATTTTATGACCAGCACCTGTACTGTGTTAATATTATATATATATTTGTGTTTTTTACCTTTATTCTTCATTATTTGTAGCGAAATTACAGAACATTACATTTGTTGCCCTTTTTAATTGTAAAATGCTGTTCAAAATAAAACAAGCTGACATGACATACGTATAGGTATAAAAACTGAAAAAAGTCAAAACCAGCTGAAAAATGTATTTTTAACCTGTTATTTTCCTTTATTTAGCCACCAAATGGCATTTTTCTGTTCTTTTGTTTACCTAACATTGTTCTGTAACACTGGCAGTTAGTATTTATTACTTAAAAAAATCAACAACAACAATGCACTAGTTTTTTTAAAATTAAAACCACAGTATTATAGGCTCTTCTTTTGAAAGTGTTTTTCTCCCCTGAATTAAATGCCTGATTAAAACATTTTGGGACTCATCATACAGATGATCTGAGCTCATTAATCAATTATCAGACTGAGAGAAAATTAATGTATTTTTTCCCCTTTAATTTTTATTGCTTTATAATTTATTGATCATTATATCGGAGTCTGCTTCTGTATGATGGGATGTGGTTCCGGTCCGGTCCATCATCAGTTATTTTAATCTAGCCTGATTATTCTTGACACTGACATAGAAACCGGGTCACAGAATCCTCCCGCAGGCTGAAATAAACCTTCCACCAAACTCCATTCAGATTTCTGTGGATTTTATTTCAGGTGCTGCTTTTATTCTGAGACGCGGATCAAATGAGGTTATAAAGATAGAGACTAATATTACAGATCAAACTGTCCATGCAGATGTTATTTTTATTTATTTATTTTTGTTGCAAGGGAGCATCAGTATGAGGCGTTGGCCGGCGGAGCGCATGCACACAACAGCCTATTTAATAAAAAAAGGATTTACTCAAAAATAAAAGCAGAAACCCAATAATCTATAGCTATAATATTACTCATTAGGTGTATTTTTATTAATCGGTTTTTATTTAATCTTCATCTCTAGATTTAAACAAGAACAAATGATCAAAAGTCAAAGAGGAGCGACAAAGAATAAGCAGATTTACCTGATTATTCGTCAGATCGGTTCCGGTTTCGTAAATAAATGTGAGTTCTGTTGTTTGGGAGGGAAACAAAGCGTGTTCCTCTTTTGTGTTCTGTTGGGTTTTTAATGCCGGTGAATCAGATGCTGCATCTGATGTTCTGCCGCAGGTTCAATGAGCTCAATGCATAAAATGCACAGTTTTATGTACTGGCACTTCCGGTTTTGGAATTCAAAATAAAAGTTACAGAGCAACCCGTGCCTGTTATTTTGTAATTTTTTTTTAGTTAGTGTACTATTTAGCATTTAAAAAGCCCCATATCATGGTAATTATCTATTTATTTTTATATTACATGTAGCTTTCTATTTGCAATTTAACTATTATTTTAACCAATATTTATATTTTGAAAGCTCCACTTACTTCCGGTGTGTTTGTCCTACAATTTAGGCCTGGTGATGATGCACTGCTATATCATGGTGGGTAAAACGTTTATTTTCAAAATTTTCTTTTTAAATTCCAGTGAAAATAAAATGTCAAATTTATAACTTTCTTTTCAAATTAGACTAAAGCTTTTTATAAAGGACTAAGACTAATTTTTTTGTGCTCATAATTCTCATAAACAAACTTTTAAACTAAAAAGTTAAAAAAATACAATAAGGTTCAGGTTCACCTCAAAACCTCAAGAAAATATAATGTCCTCGTTTGTCAAATTACTTTGCAGAAGCTGTGTGGTGTTTTTACCAACAGAGGGCGCTGTTGGACCGAGCAGAAACAAAAGGAAGGAGGAGATAGAAAAATGAAGTTCTTGGTGAAAAAGAGGATGGATTTCCTGGTTGGAGCCACACCTCAGAGAGAGAGAGAGAAAGAAAGAAGCAGAGAGAGGCTTTCAGCGATCTGCAGCTGCCTTCTAACCTCACTGTTCATTTCTCCAGCTGCTGCTCTTCTGTCCTTTCAGCCTTCTGGTGAGTATTTCTTCTATTACAAACCTTGTCAAATCAAAACCATAGACTTCTAGATCACAGGAGATAGATGAAAAGGACTTGAAATGTAACATGTTCAGGTATCAGCTGAAGTTACCAGCACAGCCRTGTCCCTAAATGTCAGATTAAGCTGTAAATAATTAATCTGCTGTCATTACAGACATTTTTAAACGACTCTGACAAAAGGGTTTAGACAATTAAGGCTCTACAGGTTTTTATGTGCTTGCATGTCTGCATATTTTTCAGCCGCACATATAATTAAGCTAAATTAAGATGTGTTTAATGGACTTTAATATRTCTCTGGAGCATTTCATTGTGTTTTATCGCCTGCAGTGTCATATTGTGATCCCTGATTTTCCATTTTTTCTTCCATGTTCATTGTTAAAGTCTTAATTCCCTTCAGAAAGACAACCCAGGTTGTGTTCAGTGTACACAAGGCCAAATTTAAGTTCCTAATCGGGTCATAGAATCTGATACAGCACATTTCGTCATCAACCTCTGGTCTTTTTGAGTCTCTGAATCCTTGTGCGCTCATAATTTCCTCTGTGTACGACTGAAATGTTGTCAGGCAGTAAATTACAATCTTCTGTGTGTGTGTACAGTTTGAGAAACGTGTGGTCCAAGGTGTGGTTAGTGAAAGAGCATAATAATTCTAAGGACGGGGGGGAGTGTGAGCCTGGTTCTGTAGAACCTGAGTAGAACCTGAAAAATTTGGATTCTTTTAATGGTAAAGCACCAAAAACATGCTTCTTGTAACGCCACTATTAACGTCTAATAAATGAAGACAACAGTTTCTAAATGGAATTATGGGATTTTCAGCGTAAGGGTCACAAAACTTATTTTCTTTTGAAATTTTCTGCTACTTAAAACACAAATTTTAAAGAATTTAGTTGCTAATGTRTAATTATTACAAAGCAAAAACATAAAATTGTAGTTTATTTGGTTCATTTCGCTGTTCGTTACTACACGATCGTAAGATCATGTTGGGAAAGGATGTAGCTATTTTAGTCAAACTTTAAATAAAAGTGTCAGTGCTCGAGTTTTTGAGTGCCTCTAAGTCCGTAAAACCAAATGTCAGCCCCATATTTAGAAAACTGGCAACCATTTATTGTGTTTTCCAGGACTGCTTTGCTGTGGAGGCCATCTTGAATTGGGTTAACTCTGAAAGTTAATTACACTTAGCACAAAAAGTAAGGAAATGTAGATTATTTCTTCGTTGTAACAATTAATTTTGTACCAGCACCTGCGGGTACCAGAAGCTCAAAACAAGAATCTACCGCAAAATAAGCTGTTTGGCAAAGAAGATTTGGTAATTTTTTTCATTATTTGCAGACCGCATACTCAGCTCTACTGCCCATCCCACAAATGCATGTTCCTCACAAATGTGGCACCATTTAATCCAGCGAGATATGGTTTATTGTCAAGAAGCATTGTTACAACAAAGAAGTAACCGCTGTCCAGTGATTTATGAGATATTTTGCTAACAGTACAGCCAAATCAAAAAGAAAAAAATTTTATCTTCTGGACGGGTTCTTCTCTAATGAAACGTTTCATCTCTCCTCCAAGAGACTTCTTCAGTCTGAGAGTTTCAGGCAAAATTCAGGCTTTTAAGCCCTGCCTCCATGTGACTGATACTCACATTACATGACTATCGTTGACACCTAATTAACACCTATTGTTAACGGGGGTGGAGTGATATTGGCAATAGCAGCACTGTAGGAGGGGGACAACTGAAAACGGAGGCCTCCACCTCTGTTTAATGATGGACGGTCTTTCTTCACAAAAATGGCTTCTTTTACTCCTCTCTCAAACCAACGTTCCTCTCTATCAAGAATGAGAACATCCTCATCTCTGAAAGAGTGACCGCTGGCCTGTAAATGAGTGAAAACTGCAGAGTTCTGGCCATTAGATGTAGCTCGTCTGTGTTGGGACATTCTTTTGAACAGTGGCTGCTTTGTTTCCCCGATGTATAACTGGTCGCAGTCCTCCTGGCACTTAACAGCATATACAACATTGCTCTGTTTGTGCCGGGGCACCGGATCTTTGGGKTGAACCAGCCTTTGCCGTAATGTCCCAACACAGATGAGCTACATCTAATGGCCAGAACTCTGCAGTTTTCACTCATTTACAGGCCAGCGGTCACTCTTTCAGAGATGAGGATGTTCTCATTCTTGATAGAGAGGAACGTTGGTTTGAGAGAGGAGTAAAAGAAGCCATTTTTGTGAAGAAAGACCGTCCATCATTAAACAGAGGTGGAGGCCTCCGTTTTCAGTTGTCCCCCTCCTACAGTGCTGCTATTGCCAGTATCACTCCACCCCCTGTTAACAATAGGTGTTAATTAGGTGTCAACGATAGCCATGTGATGTGAGTATCAGTCACATGGAGGCAGGGCTTAAAAGCCTGAATTTTGCCTGAACCTCTCAGACTGAAGAAGTCTCTTGGAGGAGAGACGAAACGTTTCATTAGAGAAGAACCCGTCCTKAAGACCTATACAATTTTTTTCTTTTTGGTTTTTTACCTGGATTACTGAGATGCATCAGGATAGTACAGTCAAATGATTACAAAGACAAACATCACTGCTCCCCCTGACTGCCATGGGAGAGCCTAGAGGTCAGAGGTCAGAGGCTGCAGACACAAGCTGCCCTTGTTGTTAGGCTGAGGAAGAACTCTGAGAAAGGCTTCCTGAGAGCCAAAAATAAACCCTTCCTCACTCTTTTACTGTGACGGGGGTGACTTTCTTGTTTCTTGGTCCTGCTGCAGTGTGAAGATCCCGATCTGGAGCCAAATTACAGGTCTGGAGTGGGTTTAGAACTGAGCTGCAGTTCTGTGGCGAGAGGGAGGGAAACAGTGTTCCCAGTGTTTGTGGGATGTTCTGGACCGCCGGGTCGTGTTCGCGAGCAGTTAGGAAAATGTTTAGTCATTCTGGAAAGCCCTGACCCTCCGCTGGGATTCAGGTTTCTGAATGAGGAACTTCTGAAAGAGCCTCTCCAGAGCGTTTCAGCCTTTTTTTAAAAAAAAAGCTGGACCTTGAGTTTGAAAGAAAACACGTTAAATGTTAGAGCGAACATTTCTCTGTGATAAAAATCTATCCAGCTGCTGGTGAAGAAATCTGATTCAGTTTGAGTGACTTTGGCCTCTCGCTGATAACAAACACAGGGTTTTTTATCTTTGTGTGTGTCATGCACACACACTTAGGAAGGTCATGAAAAGTGAATCATCTCGTCACAAACATTTTTGTTTAATTCCTGTTTTGCTTCTGGTATTTAAAAAAATCCTATCAGAGTTATGTGCTTGGTAGTGCTGGGCGGTATACCGTTTTATACCGAATACCGGTTTTTATTTTTGTTATGATATGAATTTTTTGAATACCAGACATTCCGGTTAAAATAGTGGAATATTTCGTCGCGTCCGCCAGTGAACTGTTGTTTCTCGGGGACATTTTTCCTTGCTGCACCGCTATGTGCTTTAGCATGCTAATGTTTGGAGC